TGAGAGTTCGATTTTATTTTTTTCCATAGAACTATGCTTAATTTAAGTCATCCTTGTATCTGTTAAATAAGGGGGATAGTTGTAGTTTGGCACCTCGTGCATTTTTTTCTAGAAACGACTGTATGTGCTTGTTGAAGTGCTGGAGCAGGATATATGGTATTTGTGGTATTTTATAGATGTGTGAATCTACGGGAATCAGATCTCGTGCAAGAGCAATGCAAAAAAAAAAATGATTATTTGTTGACATTTTTTTGTAAAATTGCATTTGACCTTTAAATTAAAAAATACATAAATATGTGCGAGCTATGTTCAAAATAAACCAGCACTGAGGCTGCTGTGGCCTGAAAAGTCGTTCGCTTCCAAAACTTTTTCGATTCAAAACCCGACGAGACTGTTGCCCAGCTCATGGGAATATCGCCGACGGACGCAGCAGGCATTAATGGTGCATTTGGTGCTGCAGTGTCGGTGATGTGAAAGCGTCGAAAATTAGCCCAGAATGGTTTGACGATGCGGTAGCGTATTCTGGCTATAGGCAGACTGATTGATTCCGGAGACCCAAATGGCAAAGACGCGCGATAGATTAGAGCTTGGAAATAAGGATGAGATAAGACGTTTCGGTCCGTGCCGAGTCATGGCACTTAAATTTTAAGATGCCTATCATGAGCGATCTTCATGCCGTTCCTAGGCAGGAACGGGGAAGGGAGATCGGAGGGGTTATCAGGTTTTGCCGAACACTCTTCCCACTATACCACCACCACACCCCAGTCAGTACCGCATCCTGAAAAAACTCCCCTTCCACGGCTCCTTACCAGGCTAGCTGCGGCCGCGCCGTGGATTTCTCTTAGCATGACCTGGCTTGCCACGTTCTGGTTCCACAGGTCACTTAGGGAGAGCGAGGGAGGAGGGGGGGAGGAAGGGATGGTAATTTGGGGCGGTGGTTTGGAGGGGGAGGGGGAGAGACGGTAATTTTGGTAGTTGGGTTTGATTGTTGTGCCTGTCCTGGGGCGTTCGTGTGCTACCACGGCGGGGTTGGCTTTGGGTCTCGGTTTTACGCTTTTGGCCCCGTGGTATCTAAGTAGTGTTGGGTTTTCATCGTTCCAGCATTTCATTCACCACTTTCTGTACGTAATTGGGTTGAGATAAACAGCTCATTCTGGATGCTGATTTGATAAAAAAACTGCACAACTGCAATCGAAGATAACCTTAGCTGAACACTGCACCAGGGCCGTAACATTGGTTTGTTAAGGCTGCACTGTGTTTCGCATTGATAAACAATGAGGCCAGTTGTTTTGCTGCTCCATAAATAGCTGCAATTGCATGGGAGAACTCACACACAGAAATATTAATATAAATACAGAGAGAGAGAGAG